GGGGACAGGTGTGGGAGCGAGTGTAGGCAACGGTGTCGGGGAGCCGTGCGGGCTGCTGTTGGTGCAGCAGCTGGTGCGGGCCGTCGGCGACGCCGTGGCGAAGCCGCCAGCGCTGCTGTCGGCGAGGCGGCTGTGGGCGCTGCCGTCGGAGCAACCGTTGGTGACGCTGCCGGTGAAGCTGTGTGCGAGGCCGAAGGCGTAGCGGTAAGGGCAGCTGCCGGTGCGGCAGTGGGCGCTGCTGTAGGAGCAGCGGTCGGCCCGGCCGTCGAGGACGCAGTAGGCGCAGATGGTGGGTCTGCCGTGGGTGCTGCTGTGGGTGCTGCCGATGGGGCAGCCGTTGGTGCAGCTGCCGGTGAAGCAGTGGAAGTAGGCGGCGGTGAGGCCGTCGGTGACGGCGTAGGTGAAGCCGTCGGCGCTGCAGCAATGTCGTAGGCAATGCCGTCGGGGCAGTCGTTGGTGCAGCTGTCGGTGAAGTTGAGGAGGCAGGTGACGGGGGCCGTCGGGTATTGAAAGGCCCTGTCGTATCTGTCAGCGTCCTGGCACTGCTCACCGTGGTCTGACCGGACGGTTCAGCTCGACTGTGTCGCACTCGAAATCGAACTGCTCGACGTTGCGCTGCCCGTCTGACCACGCTCACACTGTAGCTCAATGTCGTCGTGAAGCTCACTGTGGAAGTGGCCGTGGACGTCGCACTGCTCGAGACCGTACTGATCGTGACCGTGCTGCTCGAGGTCGTTCTGCTGGTTGTCAGAGGCGTAATGCTAGCCAGCGATGCACTGGAAGCCAAGCTGCGGACAATGCAGTTGTGCTGCTGTCCACGCTCGAGCTCGCCGTCGTGCTGCTGGTGCCGCTCGTACTAGCCGCCGAAGAACTCGTCTCGGTCAGCGTGGAATTAATGACCCTGTCGTACCCGTCAGCGTCGTGCCGCTGCTCACCGTAATGCTGTCCGGCGTGGTGCTGCACAACCGTGTCGCATTCGGAATATTACTGCTTCGTTGCGCTGCTCGTTTCGACCACGTTCACGCTGCTGCTCAATATCGTCGTGGAGCTCACCGTGGAAATGGCCGTGGACGCCGCACTGCTCGAGACCGTACTGGTCGTGATCGTGCTGCTCGAGGTCGTTCTGCTGTTCGTCTGAGACGTACTGAGGCAACGGTGCACTGGAAGTCCAGGTGGTGGACGATTCAGTTGTGCTGCTGGTGACGCTCGAACTAGCCGTCGTGCTGCTGGCGCCGCTCGTACTAGCCGCCGAAGAACTCGTCTCGGTCAGCGTGGACTTGAAAGACCCTGACATATCCGTCAGCGTCGTGCTGCTGTTCACCTTAGTGCTAGCAGGCATGGTGCTGCTCGACTGTGCCGCACTCGAAGTCGTGCTGCTCGACGTTGTGCTGCACGTACCGACCACGCGCACTCTGCTGTCCAATGTCGCCGTGGAAGTGGTCGTGGACGTCGTGCTGCTCGAGGCCGTACTGGTCGTGACCGTGCTGCTCGAGGTCGCACTGCTGGTCGTCTGGAGCGCACTGCTAGACAACGATGCACTGGAAGTCAAGGTGGTGGACGATGCAGTGGTACTGCTGGTCACGCTCGGGCTGGCCGTCGTGCCGCTGGTGCCTATCGTGTTAGACATCGAAGCGTCAAGAATTTGCGTTTCAAGTGGCCCCCCGTGGCCGATATCCTCCTCCTGCTGCTACTCCTCGTTTTGGGTTGGGCTCCCTGTGAAGCCACGAACCGTGTGAGGGGTATGCCGAACTGGGGCGGGGCCGCTATGCGGACCCTGCCACTTGGGCCTTGGGTCGAGCTCCCTATGAGGCCACGAGCCGTGCGAGGGGTGTGCCGACATGGGGCGGGGCCGCCATGCGGACCCTGCCATTGGGGCCTTGGGTTGAGCTCTCTACAGGGCCACGAAAAGTGTGAAGGGTGTGCCGAGCTGGGGCGGGGCCGCCATGCGGACCTTGCCACTTTGGTTTTGGGTTGAGCTCCCTATGAGGCCGCGAACCGTGTGAGGGGTGTGCCAAAATGGAGCGGGGGCGCCATGCGGACCCTGCCACTGGGGCCTCGGGTGGAGCTCCAAGTGGGGCCACGAACCGTGTGAGGAATGTGCCGAAATTGGGCGGGGCCGCCATGCGGACCCTGCATCTGGGGCCTTGGGTGGAGCTCCCTAAGGGCCACGAGCGGTGTGAGGGGTGTGCCAAAATGGGTGGAGGACCTCGCATGCGAACTGCGCCATTGGAGCCTTGGGTTGAGCTCCCTACAGGGCCACGAACCGTGCGACGAGGCCACGCACCGTGAGAGAGGTGTGTCGAAATGGATGGCACGGGTGCATAGGAGGATGATGGTGGTGGTGATGATGATGACGATGATGATGATGATGATGATGATGATGATGATGATGATGATGATGATGATGATGATGATGATGATGATGATGATGATGATGATGATGCTGATGCTGAGGATGAGGATGAGGATGAGGATGAGGATGAGGATGAGGATGAGGATGTGGATGAGGATGAGGATGAGGATGAGGATGATGATGATGATGAAGAAGATGAAGATGAGGATGAGGATGAGGATGAGGATGGAGAAGGAGAAGGAAGGAGGGGGAGGAGGATGGGGAAGAGGAGGGGATGAGAGGAGAGGAGAGAAGGAACGCGGGGCACTGTCTCTTCAAAACGAAGACCCAGCACCACAGGATGGTTGGGAAAAATTGGTGCACCCCTCACACGCTTCGTACCTCCATAGGGAGCTCCACATAAGGCCCCAGTGGCAGTGTCCGCATGCAGTTCCAGCCGCCATTTCGGTGCACCGCTCACACGTTTCGTGGCCCCATCTGGAGCTCCAGCGCCCGTGTGCGATTCCACACCAAATTTCGGCGAACCCTTTACCCGCCTCGTGGCCCCATAGGGAGCTCCACCGAAGCCCCCAGTGGCAGGGTCCGCATGCGATTCCACTCCCAGTTTCGGCGCAGTCCCATAGGGTACTCAACCGAAGGTCCCAGTGGCCCCATGTTGCTGCTCCCCTCCCTCATCTTATTTCCTTCGCGATGCTCGAAAACCAGTGGCAGCGCCCGCATGGCGGCCCCTCCACATGTGGGCACACCCCTCAGTCGTTTCGAGGCCCCGTCAGGGATTCACCGAAGGCGATACTCACAACGACGGCACTCACAACTGCACATGGTTGGGACCGTCACGAGGCTAATCCCCAGCCGTCCTGTGGTGCCCAGTCCTCGTTTCGAAGAGACATCGCGCGGTTCGTGGGGCCCCATGGGGCGCTCCACAGAAAGCCCCAGACGCAGCGCCCGCATGAGGTTCCACATCCCATTTCGACGAGCCCCTCACGCGCTTCGTGGCGCCAGGGGGCTCCACCAAGGGCCCTTTGTGGCAGCGCCCGCATGCGGCTCCCCCCCCCCACTTCGGTGCACCGCTCACACGTTCCGTGGTCCACTAAGGAGCTCCGCTGGTGTTGCGATCGCTGGGGACCTGGCTGGACGAAGTGTACTGAAATGCGGCGGGGCCACCATGCGGGCGTTGTCACTAGGGCCTTCGGTGGAGCCCCCCATGGGTGAACGAAATGTGTGAGGTGTGTGTGTGTGTGCCGAAATTGGATGGGGCCGAGCGCTCCAATTTAAGTCTTCGATGGAGCGCCCGATGAGGCCACGAAGCGTGTGAGGGGTGCACCGATATGGAGAGTGGGACCGCACGCGGGCGCTGGCTGCCACTGAGGCTTTCGGTGGAGCTCCAGTGTGAGGGGTGCACCGAAAGGGGGGGTGGAACCGCATGCGGGCGCTGCAATTGAAGCTTCCGGTGGAGCTCCCCATGGGACCACGAAGCGTTAATGGGGTGCACCGACATGTGGTGTGGAACAGCATGCGGGCGCTGCCACTGGGGCCTTCGGTGGAGCGCTCTATGGGGCCGCGAAGCGTATGAGGGCTGCACCGAAACGGGGTGGAACCGCACGCGAGCGCTGCCAGTGGGGCCCTCGGTGGAGCTATGGGGCCACGAAGCGTGTGAGGGGTTCACCGAATTTGTGGGTGCAACCGTATGTGGGCGCTGCCACTGGGGATTTCGGTGGAGCTCCCTATGGGGCCACGAAACGCGTAAGAGGTTAATCGAAATGGGTTTGAACCGCATGCGGGCGCTGCCACTGGGGCCTTCGGTGGAGCCCCCTTATGGGGCCACGAAGCGTGTGAGGGGTGCACCGAAATTGTGGGTGCAACCGCATGCGGGCGCTGCCGCAAAGGGCCTTCGGGGGCGCGCCCTATGGGGCCACGAAAAGTGTGAGGGGTGCGCCGAAATGGTGGACATGCTGAGAGCATGGGCAGGAATATGAGGAGGGAGGAGAGGGTGGAGGAGAAGGAGGAGGAGGAGGAGGGGGAGGAGGGGGAGGAGGAGGAGGAGGAGGAGGAGGAGGATGAGGAGGAGGAGGAAGAGGAGGAGGAGACGAGGACCGCGGGGCGCTGGTTCTTCAAAACGAGGACCCAACACCACAGGATGGTTGGGATATGTTCAACACTTAGACGTTTTGTATGTTCGACTGCGCCCTGCGACCATGACAACACATAGTGTTGAACTGGCCCCGCGACCCCTCACAAATGATGTTGACACGGGCGGGACACGAGCTCGGAATCTGACTTTCGATCGGCGCGCGCATTGCAAAACAGCAGTCGCATTTGGCTTCTCATTGTCCCCGGAGGCGGCGCACGGAAACCTTACCATCATGCATTCGCGTTGCATCCTAAGCAAGGCCATTCAAGTATGCACGTTGAAGTGGATATGTTTGGCTGGTGTTCGCTTCAATCTGAAGGCCAATCCACGGGTTATTGGAATCGAGATCGGATACCGTTGCTCCAGATGACGCGCTCAGTGGTAACAGCACGCAGATGCACCGGGCATCGGCCAGCCATGGAACCAGAGTCCCGCTGACCACGGATAGCATTCTCTGCGGGTCTCCTGCCAATCTTTCAGCTTCCGCTCCCTGTCTGTGGCCCACTCGAAGTGCAGGAACAAGGGCCGGATCGACCGCGACTACGACGATTTCCGCTCGGTTGACGACATCTCAGAGTTGTTGCAGCAGGAGGTGGAAGACGCGTTCGCCGAGGCAGCACAGAAGGCTGACAGCACCGCTTGGGAGGAGGATGCAGGGTGAGACGGACGAGAATGAAGAGGAAGAGTGAGGGTGAGAGGGAGAGGACGCGAACAAGGATGAAGAGGGGACTGGGGAAAGCAAGGAGGGGGAAAGGATTCGAGAAATGGAGGAACAGGAGAAAGGAGGAGGGATACAGAATGGGGGCGACGATAATGTTGTTGTTGATGATGGTGACGATGATAATTATGATGATGATGGTGATGGTGATGATGCTGATGATGACGATGATGACGACAATGAGGATGATGCTGATGATGCTGATGTTGATGTTGATGGTGATGCTAAGGATGAGTTTTTGATTATAGCAACAATATGACGCAGACGTCAAATGCTGGCAATTGCACCCTGCCGTGATGATGCTGCTGATGATGATGATGATGTTGATGATGATGATGATGATGATGATGATGATGATGATGATGATGATGATGATGTTGATGGTGGTGCTGATGCTGATGATGCTGGTGGTGGTGCTGCTGCTGCCGATGATGATGATGATGCTGCTGATGATGATGCTGATGATACTGATGATTATAATAATGATGCTGATGATGCTCATGCGGATGATTACTGTATGATGATGAGGATGAGGATGAGGATGAGGATGAGGCTGAGGCTGAGGCTGAGGCTGAGGCTGATGATGAGGCGGATGACAATGATGATGATGCTGATGATGATGGTAATGATGGGGATGATGATGAAGATGATCATGTTCATGTTGGTGATGATGATGACGATGCTGGTGCTGATGATGGTGATGCTGATTGTGATGATGATGCTGATGTTGATGATGGTGATGATGCTGCTGATGATGCTGATGATGATGATGATGATGACGCTGATGATGATGATGATTATGAGAATGATGATCGAGTGCAGCAGAGACAGTTTGGAGAGAAACCTCGACAGCTGGCAAAGCCTGACCGCAGCGGCAGACCGTGCCTCGGGCACAAGCGAGGAGTCAGCTCTAGGCAGGTTTTCGACGCAAACATGCCGGCAGAGGCCAGCCGCATCTGCATGTTTGGCATAAGCCTCGGCGCAAGCACGATGCTCTCCGCCGCGCACATGTGCCTGGCACCTGCGCCGCGGAGGCGTCCAAGAGCGACCATGCATGCACCACCTTCCAGGCTCCTGGCCTCTGAGATGGTCTGTGCACCCCTTTTTTCCCCCTGGAGGCAGAACCATGGAGTGTGCGGTTCTACTCCATCGGGTCCGCCTCTACCTATCGGCTGGGCCGCCAGAGGCGACAGCAGGCTGGTGCAAGTTCCAGGCCCTTCGGCGTGGCGCAGGTTGTCGCAGAATGCGGGCTACATTACAGGGCGGCCGAGGGTGCACCACCTTCTGGCGCCTGGCCGAGACGGTCTGCGCACCCCCAGCCCCCCAGCGGATGGACCTCGGAGTGAGCGAGCTGGTCCTCTGGTTCGGCTACCGCCCGAGTGCCGCAGAGACGGTCGGTGGGCAGGCGCACGCAGCGACAGGCAGCGGCTGAGTGGCAAGGGCGGACTGGGCTGCACCACCTTCCAGATTCCTGGCCCCAGAACGGTCTGTGGACCCCTTTCCCCCTTGCGGAGACAGGGCCAAGGAGTGTGCTAACTACTCCAAAGGGTCTTCCTCCACCATCGTGCAAGCTGACCTTGAGCAGGTCGCCTAAGGCAGACAGCGGCGAGACAGGAATAGCCAGCACAGAGACAGAGGGACGGCCACGGGTGCTGCTAAGCTGCGTGCGCCAGTCGCACAGTGGTGCGCTTGGCTAGCTACACTGCTGGGCTTCGAAGCATGCACCACCCTTTGGCTCATCAACTGGTCCATGAATGTCTGTGCACCCTTCTTACCCCTGGAAGCAGAATTATGGAGTGTGCGGCCTACCTCGCGTTTCCCCCCACCTGAGACAGAAGCGGGCAGCGCACGGCAAGCTGCAGCGGTGCTTCATGCACACGAAAGCAGGGCGACCGTGGCTGCACCGCCATGTGGCCCAAGGCCGCGACGGGGTGTGCTCCACGTCCCCCCATAGGAGAGAAAACCATGGAGTGAGATGGCTACTCCAAGGGGTCGTCCTCCTATCTGCGAGACAGGCTGGAGTGAGGCCGCCAAGGCCAGTGCGAGAAAGGTTGAGAATGATCCTGCGAACCGGCCTGAGCGCCTGGCCCGCGTCGTGAGTCATGGAACGGTCTCTGCGAGCGAGCGGCTCCGGCGCATCGATTCTGCCAGAGCCCGCCGAAGCCAGGCCACGCCTGAGGCGTCACAGGGCTACAGCTTGCCGAGTGTTGACAGGCGCATTCAGGCAGGGCCTATTCAGACCAGCCAGCCTCACACTCTGTGTCCACACCCCACACACCACGCAGAAGAGACGGCTGTCGCGGCTGGTGTGCCGTTTCACGTACGGCGCTGTGGCTGCTCGAGCTCGCCGCCTCTCCCTGCGCTCGCGTGCGTGATCGCCGTCCGACTGGCTGGTGATGAGGGCAGCTCCTGCTGCGAGAAGTGCTGCTGCTGCAGAAGGGAATGTCCATCACCTCCTCGGTGCCGTGTCTGCCACGCACAGCCCTGCGGCAGTCGGTGTAAGCGCAGACGGCCCTCTGGCGTAGCTTGTATCCCTCCTGTACGCGGCGGACTGAAGCGAGTCCCTCGCCGCCTTCTCCATCTTCGGCCGTATTCTGATCGTGTCCCACTTGCATGGCCCTGCCAATCCATCGGAAGGTCTTACGTGCCAGCTGGTCCTGGCGCTTGCTGTGGCGCCGCAGGTCTTCGTTCTGCGGATGCATGGCTGCACCATGTTGGGCCCTGCGATCAGCTGCTTGATTTCCAACCAGCTGCCATCGCTCGATGCGATCTGCCTGGGGGTGATGATGATGCTGATGCTGATGCTGATGCTGATGATGCTGCTGCTGCTGCTGATGCTGATGCTGCTGATGCATATGCAGATGCTGATGATCATGACGATGATGATGATGATGATGGAGATGATGATGATGATGATGATGATGATGATGATGATGATGATGATGATGATGATGATGATGATGATGATGATGGGACTGACAATGATGGTGATGATGCTTATGATGATGATGATGATGATGACGATGATGATGATGATGATGATGATGATGATGATGACATTGGTGCCGCTGATTATGATGCTGTTGACGATGATGATGCGGATGTGGATGAAGATGATGGTGGTGATGTTGATGATGAGTATGATGACGGTGGTGATGGTGAAGATGATGATAATGCCGACGATGATGATGCTGATGATGATGCTGATGGTGATGGTGATGATGATGATGATGATGATGATGATGATGATGATGATGTTGATGGTGCTGCTGATGGTGATGATGATGGGTTGGTCGAGATGGTGGGTGCTGGTAATAATGAGGATCCTCATGATGATGATGGTGATAATGATGATGATGATGCTGATGATGGTGATGCTGATGATGATGGTGATGGTGGTGGTGATGATAACGATGATGATGGTGATGATGATGACGACGATGACGACGATGATGATGATGTTGATGATGATGACGGTGATGGTGATGATACTGGTTATGGTGATTTTGATGATGATGGTGATGATGGTGATTGTGGTGATGACGATGATGATGACGATGATGATGACGATGAGGAGGAGGAAGAGGAGGAGGAGGGGATGTCGCTCCTGCCGAAAACGCTTCACACGGCGCGCATGTTTCTCTCCTTGCGTCCCCCTGCCGAACCACTCAGATGATCGACGCGGACCGGTGTGGACTGAAGATGCGGTAGCCGCCAGACACGAGTTGGAAACAGAACGAGCGCCAGACAGGGAGAGGGGGCTCAAGTCGGCCCGGCTCCTTCCGCTTCCTTCCTTGTCGCATACAGATGATATCTGATGCCAGCCTTGGAGAGAGTTGTGCTGCTGCTCGGGGCAGTGTAGAGGCGGGATCTGCTGGGGCATGGATTGAGGCAGCATTTGGGCGGGGCAGAAGATGACGCGGCTCTCCCATTTCCGCGCATATAGATGGAATCTCATGCCAATTGGAGAGCGTTGTGCTGCTGCTCGCGGCAGTGTAGTGGCGGGAGCTCCTGTGGCATGGGTTGAGGCGGCCGTTGGGCGGGGCAGAGGAGAACGCGGCGGGCGTGTGTAAGGAGGCGACGCCTTAGGTCAACGTGGAACCCTAGACCCTCCAGAGTGCCTCTGGACAGCTCCTTTGAGGGCGCAAGGCCGTTTCTAGCAATCATGCTCGTCCCAGCCCTGCAGCACGCCCGTGCGGTAGAGCTCCACTCCGCGTCGATGGTCTAGGTGCGACTCGCACTGAGCAACGGGGGATTTTCCCCTAATCAGGAGGGCGTGGACCGATTGCATTATCAGAGAGGGATTTCGACGATCTTGCACTGGGCACGTGGCTGAAATGGGGTTCCGCGGTGTCGATGTTTGTTATGCTGCGTTGTGCTGTTGTTGTTGGTGGTGTTGCTATTGTTGTTATTGCTGTTGTCGTTGTTGCTGATGCTATTATTGTTGGTGTTGTTGTTCATCGGATTGTTGTTATTGTTGTGAGTGTTATTGTTGTGGTTGCCGTGGTTGTTGTTGTGGTTGTGTTTGTGGTTGTGGTTGTGGTTGTCGTTGTTTGTGGTATTTTTGTTGTTGAATTCTCATATCTAAACGTTTGTTGGTGATCCCCATTCCCCGGTAACCATTCTATTTGTTCTAAAGAAAGCATCCCAGTGCGACCCTACCTAGGAGTTGGAGCCCCTAGGAAAGCAGCATTAGTAGTAACAGTAAAGCTAAAGCTAGCTAAGCTAAAGCTAAGCTAAAGCTAAGCTAAGCTAAGCTAAGCTGAAGCTAAGCTAAAGCTAAGCTAAAGCTAAGCTAAGGCTAAGCTAAGCTAAAGCTAAGCTAAAGCTAAGCTAAGCTAAGCTAAGCTAAAGCTAAGCTAAAGCTAAGCTAAAGCTAAGCTAAGCTAAGCTAAGCTAAGCTAAAG